GATAAATTAGATCAAATTGTTATAATTTATAATTAATAAATAGAAAGTCGCAATTGAAAATCACTGACTCAAACTCACCTTTATCCAATCTTAGTCTAAATATTTGTTACACTTTACAATTATAGCATAACTTTTGAGCTAAACTGTAAACGCGACTTAATCCGCGAGCAAATCCACATGCCGCTATCACATCGACAAAGAAATTCACACCTTAAAGATTGACTCCAAAGTTGGATTTCCCATGTCAAACCGAAGGTGGTTATACACCACGATACGAGACGAATTGTTGCAGAAGAGTCATAAAAACTAAGATATTAATGTATCGTGGGAGGCATTAGCCGGTCGCTGGATCGATTCCTATGCATAAAAAATGCTAATGGTCCTGAAGAGAGTACGTTACGCCGGAGTTGGCTGATTTATGTCGGGAGTTTTGTAACTATTCGCGGTTCGATGTCGTACCCTGGTGTTTTTAGGACAGGTGGACCTTAGAACTTGGGAAGAAGCCGCTAATGGGGGTTGCGAATTTTTCCTTTGTCATTTTTGTAAAGGTGCGCTTTATGAATCCACACTTTAGAAGCTTAAAATGTTACCGTTAACCGAATTATCTATTAAGCCATCTTTACTAGCCTTCAGCTGTCCTGCTCCTTACAAGACCTATCCTTAATGACGTTCCAACTTCCGTAACCAACCAATGGCTGCTTAGATCGCTTGTTCTATAGGACTGCTCTAATTAAATCTATCTTGACACCTTTTTCTCCTAGGAGCGTCACAGCCTTGCTTACTTTCAGTAGTGTAATGAGGATTGAAAAACTTAAGATACAAAGTTACTTTGAAGCTAAAAGCCGTTAGTCTTGTGTCAAGGGTCATTTTGTAGTTCGTAGATGTTCACAAAGGCAGTAGTTATATTTACTAACTAAATATTTATACTGTTGAATAGAAAGAAGAGTTGAAAAATAATATTTTGAAATATGGCTACGTAGGTGCTACGGCTTTTCTGTAGCGACTACAGAATTGCTACGATGTCTACGGCGTAGCGATTGTAGCTATACACAAAATTTCGTAGCTTTTTTGTGGTTGTTTTTGATGTATAATATTCATATTTGGCCTAAATCATTTAATAACTTCTTTTTAATATCACACACTAAATAAAAGATTAACTTTTGAATACTTTATTTTTAAAGATTTCATTTTGATAAATCTTCTTGTCAGTGTCACAACTTTTCTATGGTTATTAGTTTATAATTTTTTAACGTAGGTACGACACGTGGCTAAAGTATTGAAGATCATATATCTAATAAGTAACACAAAAATGATAAAGTATCAAAAACTATAATTGAATTCACATCTGAAATAAAATTATTCACAGCATCAAAAATCCTACTTAAAGTGAGTTGTGACAATTTTCCTTATTCCAGTTTACGACTCCTAGCGCCATCTAGCGTCGGGTAGCGGTACAAACTTTAATAACGTGTCGACTTACAGTATTTAATTCATAGTAACTAACGACGAACTCGGATCGGTTTATGGACGAAGTTAGGTGCATCCTTTTAATAATGGCACTGCTCTAATAGGTTGTTAGTGCAAGGGTTGGAAGTTTTACTCGTAGGTAAAAAAAAATGGTTTGGGACGGTGATAAAATATTCAGGGTGGGATTAGGAATGTGTTCGTGTAATAAAATATATCTTGATTCGTTCATAGTTTTTTAAAGTACGAAGGAGTATCCTCGAATTTAAAAAGTGTTACGCCAAAGTTTAATTTACGACAATTTTAACAGGCATACATTCAATACCCTGGAGGGTAGTATACAAGTTTGGTCTTAATTTTTTTTTATTGTAACTACCAAAAGCTTCCACGTTCACCGTTTTACTGGAAATCATTTAAAAGAGGTCCCTATTGTTAATACAATTCGTTTCTAATAATGGATAATAAGTAAAAGTTACCAGTACAAAAAAAAACTGTTGTTATTAAGAATAATGTAGTCTACATAACTTTTCTAACAAAAAAATAATAAAATATTTTAATCCCATTTCATATTCTACGTAAATGATTTACACAAAATTGCAAAAAGATAAACTAAAACACGAATCTCGTACCTATAAAAACTGACCGACGCTCTTAATCCAAAGGCGATTTTCCTTTTTAATCCTGCTGCGAAAATTTTATATAAACGCTTAGCATCCTCCAATCTTTTATACAAACGCATCATTAAAATTCCACCCGTGAAAGAATTAAAATGAAAAAACACAAACAATTATTTGAATACATGCACTGGCTGGCAATCTTTGCGAGCCTCCTCGGTCACGTAAAATGAAATGGCGAAAAAAAAAATTTATACATATCTGGCTGGGACACCGATCGCGATACACGGACGTACGCCGGTTGAATAATTTAATTTTTTTTCTCATAATATTATTATTTTATTAAATATGGCGAATAACCCTACTGCCGCCGCCCAGTGCCCCTTTAGACACCCACCTTCGCCTAATTGTACAAGGCTAAGCTGTGTGTGTACCTATCAGGAATTTTAATACGTTACCACCGTAATCCTGGCTCTTATTTTACATTTTGTGAGTTTGCATTTACAAATATTTTTACTTTTGTATTTCCAAGATATCGACGTTATTTCGATTTACAGTAATCGAAGCAATTAATTAAAAATCTTGATTAAAAATCTTGCAATTTCGTTTCAGATTTTTTTAAATATATACCTTTTTTAAACTGTGCGGGCAATATTTTAGGCGTGAAATTCGAAGCCATTATCGCGTCGCGTAGGCTACGCTTCGGAACTGTCGGAGGTTTTCGTCGTCTGAATTTATGCCCGCCCCGCTGTGACCGCAGCGTGCGAGTTGGTCACACTGTGGGGTGCCACTGACTGGGTGCGAAATGCGTAAGCATGCCAAAGGAAGATTTTTGAAGATATCCCCTTTCTTTTCGATGATAGATTAAGATACAAAGAGGTGAAGAAACTACTCAATGACGTGGGTCAAAGACCTTTGCCTATATGCAACATTCGGAAAATTAAGGGCTGATGATAATCTATGTTAAAGCCATATTTTAGTAATTTGTTTTGAGATTTGAGGTCTCTGCCTTATTAAAGCATATAAGCAGTATTAATACGTGTTTTATTTCTATTTAAATAAAATCTTTTAATTGTAAACTCTTATTTCTTATCAGTAGTAAGTATTTTTATGTGATAGGATGGCAAACGAGTTAATGTATTACCTGATGAGCATTAAGCGCCGCCCATTGACACTCGCAACAACGAAGGAGTTACGAGTGCATTGCCATCCTTTTGGGGATTAGGTATTTGGAGATTTTGGGATTGGGGGAGGGGAAAGATTGGGCCTCCGGTAACCGCACTCACACGGCGAAAGAAAAGACTGTGCTTGTTTCACGCTGGGTTTTTATGAGGCCGTGGACCGGTCGAGCCGACCCATTCGTGCCGAAGCATGGCTCTTTATATATTGTCCTTTTAAATTTGTAACTATTCCCGCTATCACTTGCACCCCAACTTTACGTTACCGCGTGGGTCAAAACGTTCCGGGTTCCGTTCGGTAGGGTTAACCCACTTTGATTCTTTTCGATAATCACCCGCTAATGCACTGTGGCCGTTTGGGTTTTTCAATGTTTTAAATAATGGCCGAAGAGGGTGAACGTCTATTGTATTTGCCGTAGAAATATTTCTGTGGTTATCTTTGTATGTACCTATTTGTTATGTATATTTTCATATATTTACATCACGCTAGAGTAATGTCATTTTGTTTCAAAACAAACATTTAATGTATTTATTTCATCATGGGTACTAGTTTTCATAGAAACGTATATTTTATAAACAGAAAGCTCGCTCCATCAACTTAACAAGTTTCAAATTCAACGCCAATGACAAACCTTTGACCATCCGAATATTAATAGACCATTATAGTACATTGAACAGTTTGAAACAGGGACTGTGCTTGGCAAGTTTGCGTGGCGGTTAATGTAGTGGAAACAGTGCAATAGTTAGTATCGCGATTTGACTATTAATATCTGGTTTGGATGGCGCGGTTCGTTGTGCATTGATTTAGTTTTGTTTTCGTTTGTGTCCTAATGAAACTTTACAAATATAGTGGATTAATTAGTCTTTGAGACATGTTCATTACGATTAATGAAATAGAAAATAATTTTCAACATCCATCAACGTCAAATTCAAATCCCAAATATATGAAAAACAAAAGCAATCAACATGAGAATCCACAGCAGCGCCGATAACCTAACTATCTCCCGAGACGAAGGAGAAATATGATTAGGAAAGTTTTTTAATCAATAAAAAGAACAAAAAATAAAGTAGGAAGCGTTCTCAGCTTCCTGGCTTCGTCGGATTTTTTCGCCTTATTTCTCATTACACCGGCGCCTTGGCTCGTTTCCCCTGACGTCATAGTTATAATCATTTATCGTTTGACGGCCGCCCGCGGTCCGCACAGCGCTTATTTCTAAAGGAAATTGAAAAAGTTGCCTTGATCGCGGAGTGTGAAATAGAATCGGGATCGAGTCTCGGCGCTGCTTGTTCCAGTTGATGGCTTGTTTAAGACAAAATGTTGATTCTAATAATTTGTAAAGCATGCTTAACATGGACATGCGATGCGCATATTATTCAGGCAACAGACTCGGACATGTTCTCACTTACTCCTTTAAAACATCACATCAGGATCAAACTATGTAATTCGTAGTTGCCGTTTGATTCCTTAATCTTAGCTTTTAATACGGAATTGTGTTCGGCCATTAATTATCGTACTAGGTAATATTATAAATGTGAAACTTTGTGACAATGTATGGATGTATATTTGTTATTCTCTCACGCAAATTTGTAACTGCACTGCAATTTGCTACCTATGTAGATAGGTGATACCCTGGATTAACAAAAACGCTGATTTTCATCAACATAGCAGCGAAGTCGCGGGTGGATACTAGTTTAACATAAGGTTTACATACATGAATTTAACAATACGATTTCTTCTTTCCAGAAACTACACTTCCTATTCCCACCTGCATTCGAAGTGGAAAGGATTATGAGCAGTAGCTGTGGCAGTCGTATCTGCGTCTGGGGATCCCGAGGAGTGACCATAGCTGAACTTCCTTCGAGGTGGGGAAGAGGTGGACTCTTCGATTCTGGCAATCAGACAGTACTGTGCAAGTAAGTTGGTTATTTCCATTATTTTTCATGTTTTACCTTTAAATTATTTTTGACAAAAGAAGACTTTGGTTGCTAATCAGGTTTATTAATTAGCATTCCTATACGCTATGAAAAACCCAACCGGTAATAATAGCATCACAACAAATCAACAGAATAAAATCTAACCACACCCCCATAAAATTCGCCCGTAACAAAGTTTTAAACAAAGGCCAATATAGTGCAACAAATTTCAACTATAAAATGAAGGCTTAACCGCGTCTAGTGAAGAAACTAAACACCTGAAATCTAATAAAGCCTGATAAGTTCCCGAGAAAGCTGGCACGTAAGCATCGTGTATTTTCTACTATCACGGTAAATTTTGTAACCTATTAAGCTCCTCGAAGCGGCTATAATGTTAGCCTGAGGTAACGATTAAGGCATAGATTATTAGCCGGATGACAACTCATAGACTGGACTCTTTTTTGAAGAAAATTTTAACAATTCTGTACTTTATTAAAAGAGTTAGTTTGTAACTAAAATTTTGTTCTTGATCACGTGACCTTGATCAGAGGGCCAATTGATATGTTGAATTGTAAACCTTTACAAAATGTTACTACCATAAAAGTTCAGTATTTTCTATAGTTCATCTTCTCCTTCGAAGACATTTACAAATACTTATGAAAATAGAAAATGATACACGAAAAGGAACTTCTCAGAAGCGAGCCCCACTTAGGCAGAAAGCTGACAAGACACACCACAGCATGGTCTAAGTGTTTCGCGCTCGGAGTCACCACTCTTTTGTACATGTTATTAGGCTTCTATATCTCCAAATTTGCATATTTCGGCAGTAAAATTAATTCGAAGATTTGCCCGCATCCACCATCCAGACGGGAGCTTCAAGGGGGTGGCTTTTGTAATGTTTTTGGATTTCTGCATTAGAATTTATACGTACCGATACGTACTGCGGCTTCGTCCCTAAGACGAGTATTATACGAGTCGATGACTTTCAATTAAGCGTTTCGATTGAGCGCCGACCAAGTATCAAAATTGTTTCCAACTTTATGATAAGTAGGTTAGAGGATTGATTTAATTTTTATTCAGTTAGGGGAAGCAAAAAGCGAACCATTAATGTGAGCGAAGATTGTTATAAACTTCGTTGTGTGACAACATTCAATAAGAGATCGGATCAGTAGTCTTACTTACCAACTTAAGTTTTTGATTTTTATGTAAAGAGTTGATGTGATGCACCATTTATATATTATTATAACCACCTCATTAAGATACGTTTGTTTAATGTTATTCTATTTTACTAAATGCGTTTAATAAGTAATTTTCTTTAAAGAAGTCATCATAAAAGAAAATCTCCATTAAAAACATGGCTTATAACTAACAAAAACTGCACTAAATACATCGCATTTCGAGTGACTTATGCTAATAGCAGTTAGCAGTTACTGCACAGCTCTGTAACCCGTTCGTATTTAATCCCTACAACTAATATTAGCTATAAACGGCCCCTTTTTGGCTAATTATGCTAAGATGTTTCAGTTTTGCCGTCTGCACCGAGGATTTGAGTTTTACACTTTGTTTATGCTCCTCTGTACATGGATGATACCAAATTTTCAAGCGGTTCTAGCTTATTCTTCTGATTTGGGGCAAATTATTCTTTATATTTTACCTTCTAGTTTTGTTCTGTGTGATGAGTCAATGGATTGCAATAATGAGGATACTAGAGGCCCAATCCTTCTTCCCCAATCTCAGAAACCCTATTCCCCAACAGGCCAGCAACGCTGTCATAATTCCTTTGGTGATGTTTACCATCTGGTCGATACATCGTTTCCCGTTCTATCACAAAAAAAAAACAATCCTATTTGATTTTTGAGTCGTAAAAGACAAGAGATCAGTACCGGGTAGCAAAAGTATAAACATAAAGTTTACAATCGGTCAAACAACCTTAAATCGATAATTTATGTTAGCAATATGTGAATTTATCAATGCTTTGCTTAGACTATTTGCAACAGTGATAAAGATTGAAGAAGCTATACAAATTTCGACCATAACAATCTAACAATACAAACGGTACTCCATCAACAAGATATTAACGAACAATCAAAAATAGCGTTCACCTTTATTATAACATAATCTTAAAACACAATTTTCCCCAGTTAATTTACTCTCCGTCGCAACATCTTCAGCTACAGTGGGCTCGTATATTCTTTGATAACCCCTTATCGTCGCCCGTTCGGTGCATTTCCGAGCTTCCGAAGCGAATCTCCCGCTAAATATTATGTTGGAATATTTACTGTGTTTGCTTCTGTTTTGCTTAAATATATTCCTGTATGTAAGGTTAGTGTTTTATCTTGTATGGTTTGTCTTTTGTGTATTGAGATAACAGTATGTCGGTGACTTTGCTTGAGAGCATTATCTGAGAATTGATGGACCAATTAAAGTGTGATTATGTTTTGATTGATATCATCTTGTACATATTTTTGTTTATTGTCTCCAAGTTTTTTTCTTATAGCACCTACCATACTATCTGCATCACACCTAGATTGACTGGTGAGAATTGCTATGCCATTAACACCCATTATGCCATTAAATCAATTTATACTCTTGTCCAGTCATCTGATTGGTTGACTGAATTATCAACAACCAATCAGATGACTTGACAAGAGATTTAACAGATTAGTTAATTTTAGCGTTGACAAGCCTTTCAGAAACCGGGTGTTAGTATACCTTAGTTATACTATGTTGCATAAAGAATAAATAAATAAATCTAAGATACGAAGAGTACTTACATTTATCCGAGATAAAAGTCAGTAGATATTACACTTCTTTCTTCTTCTTCTTCTTCTTCTTAGCCAAAGTTTATTAACAACAGTATTTAGTAGTACTTTCCAAAGAATTTCAATACATATCGAAGGCTACACCAAAATCGAAATACAGGAAAATCCTAACAAATAATTAAATGTCCATTATTGGCACAGACAGACGTCAAACAGCACACGATCCTCTTTAAACACAAACGAAACAAGTAGATTTCACACGGGAATAGAACCTGCGTCCAAGGAAGTTTGTTTGTTAGTTCGAAAGTAAGGGATTGATTCTGTTTGGACTGAAACGGCTTTTGTGTCTCTATTGACGTCAAAGAGAAATCTGTATCCACATAAAATAAAGCCGTTTATTGTTTAAACTATTTAAGTCCTAGACATCACACTTTCGCCTATCTACTAAAACTAAAGTTGAGCAACAAATTGTCTTCTTACTTTATCATCCTATACAAACAAAACACCATAATGTCCCACCATCAAAGACAAATCCCATACATTAACCCAAGATCGATAGATAGCAATAGAAGTTAATCCTTCAACCGCGTCGACCTACCCACAAACCGAACGATCCTGTAAGTCTCAATTACTGGCTAACCCTGATTTACCCGACGACCGATCCAATTTGTAAACGGGACTCGATCGGAGAAAACTATCCTCGACATCCACAATCAAAAACCAACCTAAACTCAACTCCCTAAAAGTCCAATTCCACAATTGTATACAGAGAAATCACCTTCCAAGTCGATATTGTCTAGTCATGCGAGTGATGACCATGGAAAATGTTTTTACACCAAATTACGCTTTGATTGGAGGGGTGTAGGGTATGTTTTGGAATGGCCATGTTTGACATCCATTGGGCCGACCTGAACCCCAATTATAGGCCACAAACTATTTTATCTAACACCCGTGTGACAACACTAATCTTATTAGAATCTATTGGAATCGAAAACGTGCCAAGAAAGTAAGGAGTAGACGTTGATCTGGAGTTAATTTTCTTTGTGAGTTCCTTTGTCTTAAATTTTGTTACTCAGTAAATATTTATTATTAACATTATATTTAAGTAAATTAGCAATATTGGAACTATTCAAAAATAGCAATAATTTTAAATTCAAAACGCTGCTGATGTGAATCAGCATTTTTATGTTTTATCAGGTATAGGTACTTCTTATTTAAATCTTTTTGTAAATTGTAACCGCTGCCATCGTTGCCCTCACGTCTCCTGCGATCGGGATTGATTCTCCCGCCGCGTGATCCGGGCTTTTGGCTTAAACCAATTTGCCGGTTAATCCGGAGTACACGTACGGACGCTTCGGGACCCCGGCGGTACCCGGATTATACCTCCTTATTCTTTGTCTTTACGTGAGATTTTATTCTTATCGGCAATACTAGGTGGATTATTATTAAGCTTGAACGTGATACCTGGTGTTTTTGCCGAATAAAATGAAGGGTATAATTACTTCCACAGTACGTCATGTTCTCAAAAGCTTGCTTAAAATCAGTCACGTCAAATCTTGTCTTGCAACAAAACTACTAATATCTGAATTCCATGTAAAGAGCGATCAAGTAATAACTTGCTACGTCCATCGTAAACCGACAAATGATCGACCCAAAACAATAAACTTTTAATAAACCCTTATCCAAACTATCACCCAAAATGACCATCACGTCTTAGCCAAAGTTTATTAACAACATAATCTCATGGTCGCCTCAATAAACATGTAAGAGACCGATATGCAAATATCTAGCCCCCGTCCAGTTTGCACGAGCCTGTTTGAACAAGACTGGACATGGATCGCCAGTGTAAACATGTTTGAGGGATGTTAGGGTAGTTATTGAGCATACCACTAAATATCTTTGTACGGTAGTCCTAGTCTTTGCTTAGGGGAACGTAATGTTACACATTAAACGTAAAGCATAAAGCAAAGATGCGGAATTCAGTGCAATATTTGCAAGACAAGAATTAAAACATTATTCTTAATTTTTTCTCAGAACTTGACAAGCCACAACATGAAAGCGAAAATCATAGGATTTCCTACCCTAAACCCAATCACCGCTATAGAATGTGAAGAAAAAGAAAATCCCTTTCTCACGTCGAACCTAAGTACCTTAATCGCCCCCTATTGTGTGTACACCGTTTTGCGAGTAGATCACAGAAAGAATCCCTTTTTTATCCCTTTAGGGAGACTCCCTGAG